CGAAAATGGCAGCGTGGGGGTACACCGCGAGGGGGAACGGCGGTTTGGTTCTCTTCGCTTCCCTCGCTGTGAGGCCGGGATGCTGCCTGTAGCGTATCTGAGGTTGGGAATCCTCTGTGCAGTGGCGGTGTGTTCCTGGCGTCAAAAACGCCAGGGTTATAAGATTTCTTTTTTCACGCCGAACTGCCCTCAATAATACGCTTTTTTTTTTTTTTTTTTTAAATTATGGCTTTGGGCTCGTTTACGTTGCGGGGGAAGGGGCTCCGGGGTGCTGTGTGTAGGGAGGAATCTGTTCTGACTTCTCGTAATGCGTAGTAGCCACATGCGAAAAAGTCAGTCCTAAGTCAGTGAGGAAACCTTCTGACATCTGATGTGTAATCTAGGAAAGCAGAAGGGGATAAGAGATAAGCTGCAGTGCCGACCCAAACAGAGGCTTACAGGCTCCTGGGGGAGACTAAAATAGAATGAGAAACGGTTGGATAAAGGAGACGGTCTGCTATTTCGGACTGTGGTTTGGACAGTCCTTTGGCAAACTCCTGTTTGGACTTGTTTAGTGTAGACTGTCAAGAGCCTTTTTATTTTTCCAATAGGAGACAGATCTTTAGACTTGTGTTGGATTTTGTCTGAGAAATTAAATACCTCTGTGTGAACACTCCCTCAGTATTGCAATCAATGACTACATTAGGGTTTTCTTGGGACTTGGTAAGATGTGACAGTTAAATAATTGAAGTGGTAATAAACGTAGTATCAAAGATTACTCTTTCTATTTGCTTTTTATCTCAGTGACCGTTGCTGCACGTCAAGTGGTCCAAATAAGCTCTCAGCTTCCTTTCCTGGATGGACTGATAATTATCAGGTGCAGGGGGTAGAGCAGTTAGTTCAGCGTCCCCTTTAGCATTGTGTGGCTGATGGTGAACTTGGTGTTGTCACGTTATTACCTGTGTGTCTCACTCATTTCTCTCAGAAGTGGAACAAGTTTTCTGATGCCTGTTCATGGCAACATATTTTGCCCAGTGACTAAACATCTCAGTCCCAACTTCAAAAGACACGCAGTTTCCTTCTGTCGAATCCTTGGTAGACTACCGCAGTGATAAGATTGGAACAGTAGAGAGGGTCTGCACTGCAACCTTGTAACGTGCCAGAGGTGCTCATAGCAAAGGTAGGAGCTGTTTGTTTGAGTGCCACAGGCAGACACTATGCAGGACTCCAGGCCCTGGCTTCCTGGCAAATGCTTTCACCGGTGGTCCTGACGTCTAGCTAGCCCCCAACCCAGCCTCTTGTTTTCTTGCCTCCTTTCCCTTTTTTTTTTAAATTCCATGCTGGGGCTGTCCATTTGTTTTATGACCCTTTCTCCAGAGCTCCATCAGTTCCGAGGGAGTGTGGTGAGAAGGGCTGGTGATGCAGCAGGGAGCGACACCAGTGGCTTGCAGAGTAGATATATCTTGAAGAGTGCATAAGAGCTCCTTGTGGCCGTGCTGCCTCCTGCGTGAGGCCCAGCTAATAAGCCTGAAAGAATTTATTAGCGTGATCTGTGCCCTGCTCCAAGCATTGCTGATTGGGAACTGCTGTTCTAACCAGCAAGCTGTTACAGAAAATCATTTCCCTTCTTCTCTGGCTGCGTTGTTAATTAAGGAGCTGTGGCTGCTGTGTTTTGAGAAACTGGAGGACAATGCCAGCAGATTGGGGCTGTACATCAAGGCTTGCACAGTAAATAGGGAGAGTGGCAGCTCAGCGCACCACGTTGCAGCTGGAGCTGGAGAGGGTGTTTGTCATCCAGATGACAGGTAGGAACCCTGAACCTGTGGTGCATGGCGTGAAACAAATGTCATCTGTCACAGCACCCTGTTCTTCAAGGGTGCTGGTAACTGGTCAAAATGACTTGGTTATGAAGTAAATACTCTGCGATGCTCTTATTTGGCTGATTCTTAAGTTTTTAGGGAATGGTTGTATCGCCCAGCTGGTAATGGAAAGGAGTTTACAAAAACTTTTGGGTGTGCAGGCTTGCTTTTGGTGTGAAGCAGCCCTGCCAGAAAGCCGGTTTAGTTTGTTTCATTGAGATAATATTTGGAGAAACCCTTACCAGCTTTGTCTCACTTCTTAGCACTCCCTTTTGTGTGACTAATTTCTAAGAGGCCAACCAGAATAGTACCTCTTGCCTCAGGTTTAAGTTTATAGAAGAGATCAGTAGTTAAAAAAAAAAAAGGTTAAATAAAAACTTTGGATTTGCCCAGAGAAGTTGTGGATGCCCCATCCGTGGAGGTGTTCAAGGCCAGGTTGGATGGGGTTTGGAGCAACCTGGTCTAGTGGAAAGTGTTTCTGTCCGTGGTGGCAGGGGGGGTGGAGCTGGATAAGCGTTAAGGTCCCTTCCAACCTAAACCATTCTATGAAAATAAGGGGGGGCGGGGGGTGTAAAGAAACAAATCCCAGACTTGCCTGTGTGGGGCATTCTTGTTTTTAATTGCTGGTGTAAAGGACAGTAATGAGGGAAAGATTGGACACAGCTAGTGTTAATGAGGGTATGCTAAATTATTCTCCAATCTGAAAGTTGTTGAAATTTGCACGTGTAAAAATCAACGTTCTGTCTTCACCTGCCCAGTTACGACATCGTTTTGGCAGCTAATCAGTCTTGTATCCTTCATGCAGTTGAAATCAAGACGTCATCTCAGGACAACATGAGAACACTTGTTTCCCATTCTGCTGGTCTTTAAAATGATATCTAGCTAAAATCTTGCAGACATTTAAAGGATAATAGAAGGACAAACAATTATGATCACTGCTGGAGCTTGTAGACACAGGAAGTGTTCCAGGATGTTGGGGAAACGTGCGTTGGATGTCTTGCATCTCATACAACATCTCTTATCATCATGGTGTTAGAATGTCTTTATGGCAGAAGGTTGTTAAGACCTTTTTCCACTCTCATTAAATTGGTGATGAAAATCCGTAGAGTTCTGCCTTGGATTACGTCTGCACTTCATCACAGGTGCCATGGCAGCTTTCTGTGCTGGTGCTAGCTTTGAAATTGTTAACTTGGGTGCTGAGAGCAGGGTAGTGCTGGCTGTATTGAACTGCCTTTGAACTTGCACAGATTGTAACCTGTATGTCGTACGGCTCAAGTCAGGCTAAGAGGAAGTTGGATTAATTTAGTAAGAAGCGCTCCCAAGTTTGGACATGGGAATCTCTGCATACTTATGTTTAAAGTTCAGGTCAGGTCAGCAAATGAATTCTGATGCAGGTGAGGGAGTTGAGAGCCATCCTACTTGTCCCAAGGAAAAGGGTTTTTCATCAAGGTAATGAAATGGGATATGAAAGAACGCAAGTAAAAGGCTGTCTCAAATTAAACACAGGCAAGCAACCATCCATAACCGTCTCTCACTTTGTAGCCTCTTTTTTCTATCCTTGTTCTTTGGATGTGTAAGAAGGGTTTCTGTGAGCAGCTTGAGAGCTTTGTGTTCTGAAGCGGTGGGAGGAGAAGGATTCTAATCAGTAATGAAGACTTGCATTTCTTGTGCGGTTATTGAATGGTAATTGTAAACTGATTCTTCAAACCAAGCAGCAGGAGCCAGTTGATGCTGTAGGGAGTATTGCTGTTACTGGCACGCACCTATGATGCTTCTGCCCTCAGAGATCATTTCACCTAAGAATAATTTTAGGAGAATGAGTTAGCAAACTCTTCTGCACTAATTGGTGAAATTAGTATGAGTGATGGAGCCAAGTAGCATCCTGGATGCTGTTCAAACCATGAAATTCCGAGTGGTGTGTTGAGTCGTGGCCAGGAGTATTTCATCTCTCCAGCGATGATGTTCATCCCAGGGTATGCTGGCCCAGGTACCTCCAGGAGCACGCGTGCACCTTAACAGTCCCTGTCACTCTTGAGGCTCCAGGGTGTCCTCTGCTGCCATGTTGCTGAAGGGCAGGACAGCTCCATCCCTCCGGCTTCCATCTCATTTGGGAAGAATCCAGCTGGTTCTTGTTCAGGCCAAGCACCTTCAGATTTTAATATCCTCAGTGCGCTTGTTGACATAGTAGTTTGGTGTGTCGCAGCTGACAGAATGATGATTCAGTTGAATTTTGATCAGAAACTCTATGGCTGGCTTCTCTGATTCCTGAAGTAAGTGCTTCTACGGGTCAAACTGAGCTCATGGTGCAGTAAATGAATCTTCCGGAAGGACTTGAGTTTATGTGCTCTCAAAGGATCTTGTCTGCCAAGCAGGTGCTTGGGGTCTTTGGTTTTCTCTAGAGAAAGCACAGTGCTGAAAATCTGGCTCCTGGTTGGATCATAATACCCTCACCCATGGAATCAGCCTACACAATTATCCTAGACAAATCAGAACAGCGTAATAGTTCATGTGGATTTGATTGTTAAGTCTCTCACAGAGGGATTAGTCTCCTGATGATCCCGACGGTAGTCTCAAAGCCGGTGTAGCATCTCAGGTTTCAGAACGGCATATTAATGCGTTGTCTTGAAGCCCTGAGACCGCTGGTTTCCTCTTGCGAGGACAACACAGTAAGTCATTGGGACATGTATTCTCCAGCCTCCCTCCACGTGGATTGAGGACTGGACAGCAGACAAGCTTGTGTCCCAGTCTACAAAGGTGATCTACAGAATCTGGAACTGGGACAGTGAGGGAAGTTGAATTGACAGAGAAGCTCACAGCCAACAAATAGTCTACTCTTCAGAGTAATTTTGAGTGCAGACATGGTAACTATTGTGCTTAATGGAGGTTTATTAAATAAAAATACCTGAAAGCTGCTGCTTTTTATTCTGACCTGGATATGGTTTTCATCCAAAACCATTGGGACCCATTCTTAGGAAGCTGATAACATTAGTCACCATTTTCTAAAACAAAGGTAGCTAAAATATGACTTTAAGTCATAGTTATTTTTATTATATTATATAGTTAACAGCCTTCTTAAGTAAGTAAATGATGATAAAGCAAGGCAGCTTACTTGCATCGCAGTTTTTTTATCCTTGTTTTGTAACGGTGCTTTTGTTATTTTAAGTCATTTGACTTTAGCCTTAGCTCTGCCCAGTGAAATATGCAAGCAGCATGCACTGGTTGGTTGCTGCTTTTCTAGGGTGTTTTTAGTGATGCTTAAGATGTTAAAGGTCTTGCTCGGCATTAGAAAGTCACGTGAGGGCAAACTTCTGTGGCCAGCCAAGCTTAGCTCCCAAGCCTGATTTGAACCAGTTCTGCAGCTTTAAAACGAACGGCTTAATCTATTCACGTGCATGTACGTTTGTCTACAGAATAAGCTAAAATGGGCTACACGGTAACAGCTGGTAGGCAGCTTAAGAAGCTGCTGCTCTTCAGCTGCTAGGTCCTCCTTTCTCATCAGGAGAAACTTCTAGATTCTTGCAGTACCAAAATTTCAGGACTCGGGCTGGCTTGCCTTCCTAGGATGCACTTAACGTATGTTTGCCCTATTACTGCGTAAAAGGAGCTCCTCTCTGTTGCCTGTGATGCTTTACCTGTCCATGTTCTTGGGATGAGCGCATGGGTTTTCTGGGCAGATCAGAGAGGTGGAGAGTGATGAAGTGGTTGATACACTGGTAAGTATGTATGGTATCCGTACAATATCCTGCTTTTTTTCCCCAGAGGCTTGAAGTAAGTGTATTTCTTCTTATGCATCTGGGAAGGGAGCAATATGCATGACATGAAAAGGCAGAAAATACCTCGCACCTTTTGTGGTTAAGTTAGCTCCAGCTAACTTAACAAAGCCCAAACTCCAGCTTACAACAAAGCCCTGTCTGTTGCTTTGTGCGAGTCAGAACACACTGAGCAGCTGTTTTGTGACTGTGTTTTATGTTTGTCTCCCAGAGGGTAGAGGCTCTCAAAAGGTGCTATAGTTGCTTTTAAAGATACTGGAACAGAATTTGAGTACTGCTATTGGACTCAAAGATGCAACACGTTCAGCATTTTCCAGTCAGTTTAGAACTGCAAGGTAGACCCCACGTCATCGAGTCCACGTGCAGGACATGTCTTTGAGGATCAGGGTCACATCCCTCAGGTTATGTACCATGCAAGGGGCATGCTGGATGCTGTCCAAGCCCTTGACTGCCTGGGTTTTCATTGCTCTTTCCAAATACGCAGTTTGCCTAAAAGAGGCAAGGTAACTAACATTTGAATGTGAACACAGGCGTCCTTGGGGAGCCCACCGAAGGTGTCCTCGATGAGCAGCTTCTGCCGGGTAGCAGCAGGTGGGAGCTGCATCATCCCGAGCTAAGGGACTTGGCGGTGAGTAGCCAGATCATCGCCTGTTGGTGACTGTTCAGCACTGGTGATCTTTCATCCCTTCTGTCCAGATCGCACTGAGCCTATCTGTGGGTGTTCTCTGTGCCTCAGATGTGCCTGGAGCGCTGATCTGCATCACTTGATGAGCTGGAGGCAGCAAAACAAACATGATATTTGATAACGATAATAATGTAATGCAGATAGGCTACATTACATGGCTGTAATTAGCAGAAGAGATGACTAAACCCAGGGATGCCATCCCTCCATCTGTGGTCATTTTGTTGCCAGCTGCGTATGGCCAGGGAAGCTGGTTGTGGCTCCATGTGTTTAAATTGTCTCTGACTTTGCTTTTCCAGTTTTATGTGACCTGCCTTTAGAAGTTGTTAAACTGTTGTGTTTGGAAGAGGATTGGAAATCTGGCAGGCAAAGAGTGCCCTGGGCGAGAGAAGTGCCTGTTGCATATGCATTGATGTTATGTGCCAGGTTAGTACAGCGAAGCTTAGGAATACTTGTTCTCCTCGATGGCTTAAGCAAGAGGAAAAAATCTGCCCCACTGCAAGGGAAATGGATTTGTTAGTTCCCACGAGTCCTAGGAATGTGCAGAGAAGGTTCCCTTTCCTGACATGTGGCTCTAGTTGTCTCATACTCGCCGCAACGCAATCTGAAAGCGCAGTACCTCCGGAGAGCTGGGGCAGCCCCGTCAACCCTTGGCGCTAGTGCCCGCGTTGATTATTTTTTGGCAGAGTAACACGGCTCTGCTCATCTGGTGCCGTGGTGGTTGCCCAGTGTTTCTGCCAGACGAGCTGCTTTGTCATGTGCACTCTTCCTTAACATCATCTCTGCTCAGCGATCACACGATGAGCCGGCTTTGTCGATACGGAACGAACCCGCAGTTCGTAGTGCTGTTTCCATGGCACAGACCCGCTGCTGCGAAATCCTGGTTTTGGGAGAGCTCTCGAGGTTTATGGGTGTGCAGTGCCGGGGGGAAGCCTGAGGGATCCCAGAGGAGGAAGGCAGTGAGGAGCGGCTGTCAGTGCTGGCAGAAGAGTTGTTCCAGCCTGCTGCTGTGTTGCCAGAAAAGGTGGGAACGCGAATGGTTCCACATGGCTGCGTGGGATTGAGAGTAATCCATTGAGCAACCGAGATGGTAGTCAGACTAAAATGTGGCAGGAGGGAGTCTGTGTGTAGGTACATCACTGCAAGTCAGATGGCTTCTGTCAGAAGTCTAGGAGGTCATGGTTTTCCTATCTAGTGTAAATATCAATATCTAGCTTTAGGTGTGCTTTTGCAAATCAAGTTGTTCAAAAAACTGTAATAGCCACCTGAGTGGCAAGCACTATCTCCTCTGGTATTTCTACCCTTACAGCAGACAGCAAGAGCATTGACTAATCTCTGCTCATACGCGTTTTGCACTGAACTCTTGCTGACAGGGCATGGGATGGCCTTCAGTACTGAGGGGACAGCTGTGGTTCTTGAGGTAAAAGCTTCTAGGTATCTTGAAACTGAATAGCGCTTGACTTTGGCAGTCAGATTAGAGTGCTGAGTGCTGCTGTAGTTCACGTAGCTGAGGCAAAGAGACCTGTGCTGTGTTAAACAAGTGAAGGGAGAAATCTGTCAAAATCAGTTGTGCTAATGAGGCTTATTGGAGTAGTGCTTCGTCTTGTCTGCGCTTGAGAAATGTTTGGAAGAAGCACAGGATTCATGGGTGAATCCCAACAGCGATGGAAGCCGTATATCCAGGTCAAGCCTTGATGTTCACGCTGCTTCATTTCAGGGGAGGCTGGGAATTAATTTGTTTAGTTACTTCTTTGAATTTGTTTGTCAGTGCTGGTGGTACAGTAAGATCTTTATGACCTGGCATCACAGTATCAAACCTACTTGTTTTGTGCACAGGGATTTGTAAAATGCACTTTGCCTTTGCTTACCCAACAAACTGTTTTTCCAGTGGTCAGCGTGAGCTACTGGAGTGAAATCAGGTTTCCTGTGCAAATGCAGTGGAATAACATCTGCACCTGCTTATGGAGGGGCTTCCTACCTTTTTGTCTTAACTGTGGTTTTCTTGCTAGGCTAAAGAAATTCTTACGAAAGAATCAAATGTGCAAGAGGTACGTTGCCCCGTCACCGTCTGTGGGGATGTCCACGGTCAATTCCACGACCTTATGGAACTCTTTAGAATCGGTGGGAAATCGCCGGACACAAATTACCTGTTTATGGGAGACTACGTGGACAGAGGCTATTACTCGGTGGAAACAGTGACTCTTCTAGTAGCGTTGAAGGTACGGTTTGACAGCTTTTTCTCCAGCAGCCTTGGGCAAAACTGCGCTTTTGGGGAGTTTTGAAAGAATTACTCCTCCCGTTGACACCACCGTTGGCTTGAGCTAGGTGGATGTAAAGGGAAATGCGTTAATAGACATGTGATGTTCTATAAGAGAGCTGAATGCTTGACGGCTGTTTGAAATATTCTGTTACTATTTCTGTCCGTATTGATGGTGAGCTTCTTGTGTTAAAGAAGAGTTTTCTTTGTCAATAGGTGCGTTACCCAGAACGCATTACGATACTGAGGGGCAATCACGAAAGCAGACAAATTACACAAGTGTATGGCTTTTATGACGAATGTCTGCGAAAGTATGGCAACGCCAACGTCTGGAAGTATTTCACAGATCTGTTTGATTATCTTCCGCTTACAGCTCTAGTAGATGGCCAGGTAAGCCTTAAATAAGGAAAACGCTCCATTTCCTAGAGTTATGCAGACTGTATTGTCTGACCTCTACATGAGCAGCCTCAAACAACCCCCCTCAAATTGTGATCCAAATTTTTTTAAAGCCCGTGTCCTTACTTTGGATTTGGGGAATAATTTAGTGAGGTTTTGATACGAGTTGATGCTGCGGGAAGGCTTTTGATTCTGCTGCTGAAGGGATAGCAGGGTTGCATGTGTGGTTTATTTTAAATGATTGCTCAACAACTGGGGATCCCCTTGTGATACATTAGGTGTGAGTTGTTGTGGCCGTGAGGCAAGATATTAAAACGGAAGGCATGCTGTCTTTGCTGTTGCTCTGATCTCTGTATCCAAGGTGCAGCCTTTCGGTTTTGTTTCCTTCTGCAGGAGTTAAATTTGGTTTCTCTGCTGCGAGGGTGAGATGGCTGCAATTGTAAAAGAATGATAACAGGGTTAAACCCAGCAATTTCTGAGATCGGTCTTCCCATAACAATATGCACTGAATAGATTACTCTTTTCTTTTTTTTTTTTTTTTTTTTTTTTTTTTTTTTTTTTTTTTTTTTTTTCCCGGAACAGATATTCTGCCTCCACGGTGGCCTCTCTCCATCCATAGATACACTGGATCATATCAGGGCTCTGGACCGCCTGCAGGAAGTTCCGCACGAGGTAACAGGAATGGAAATGCATCATAAACTTAGCTGTTGGTGGAAAATGCGAATGTAGCATCACATTGAAGTCCATTTAAACAGTGAGACACGTGGTTGCACAGTGGACTATTGCCTTCTAAGAGCTAGAGCAGACAAACATACATTTGGGCAGCACACACACAAGTCAATATGGCTTTGATTACAGCAGTCTACAAAGGGATAGCTCTGGGGTTTTCACAGCTGTTTTTCACAGAATCACTGGAAATTTTGACTGTCACATTGACTCAAATAATAGTATTTGGACGGGAAGGTGTTCACTACCTTCAGCCTCATCACAGACTTGCTTGTGAACAGCCAACCACTGTGTGAAGCCATGTTATGTCACCATCCTTCCTCCCTAGCCAATCCTTTCTTCTGTGGTGTTTCACCTTTTCCATCCCTTTCTGGGGGCCTGAGATCAGGACTGAGGAAAGCAGCTTCTGAGCGCCCAGGGTAGCCATTGGCTCTTCCGTGTTGGAGTGATTGGGGCTTACACACGGACTCGAGGGTTCCCTGATTAAAACAAACTGCTTGTCCTGCAACATCTTTGGTGTAACAGCAAGAACAATGCAGCAAGGTCTGCCCAGGCCTTCCAAAAATCCACAATAAACGATGTAAATTACTCCCAGAATCGGGGAGTACCTGGTGGGACATTGACCGGTAGTTAGGTGTAATGATTATACTGGTGCTCTGGGGTTTTCCCGTTCCCGTGCCGCATATCTGCGTGCTGAAATCTGGCTGTCCTGAGGACATCCACATGTAGTCAGTGTGGTCCCTGCTGCAGAGCTCAGATCGGTGGGTAGGAAACGGCAGCAGGTTTGGATAAATACTACAGTGTCTTTACTGCCCGTTAGTAGTTCAGCAAGAAAAGCCACTGAGCTTCATTTGTGTTAGAAGATGTACACCAGGATATTTTTGAATACGTCAAGTCCGACAATAGACTTTTTAGGAGAGGAAATTAAATGATTAATACTCTGCCAGAAGGGCTGCTGAAGGCTTAAGATCAATCTCTGGAACGGTTAGTTCATAGCCTCCTACGGGTCGTTTCCCTTTCTTTAATTTATTGCAACTTGGCTGGCACCAGAGAACCCATTGTGTCTCCTTGGACGTGCATACCTTCGCACGTGGCCTTTTTCATTTTACTGTGAGAGTCAGGAGTAAGAATGTGGATCTGCTCTCCATGTCTCTGTCTCTCTGACTAGTTGAAGTGAAATGGTAAACGGTGCGCGTGGAAGAGGAGGTGGGAAGAGTTTTGTGGTTAGATGGTCTCCTTTCTCAGTCAGCTGTGTGCATGTTCATTTCTTTGGGAAGGATGCTGACTGATACAGTGAGTAACTAGCCGCTACTACGTGTGTTGAATAAATTCGTATGCCTGGTGCAGAGAAGAACATGCTGGCAGTCTTTTTACTGTAAATAAAATCTTTCTTAAAAGCGTCTTTTTATAACAGTGTTGCTAATGATCTAACGAAGAACACTTAATCTTTTTCAAGGGTCCTATGTGTGATCTGTTGTGGTCGGATCCGGATGATCGTGGCGGCTGGGGTATATCTCCACGTGGTGCTGGCTACACCTTTGGGCAAGATATTTCCGAAACATTTAACCATGCCAATGGGCTCACACTGGTCTCCCGCGCTCACCAACTTGTCATGGAGGTAGGGCAAACGCTCTGCTAGATGGAGCTAACAAAAAAAAGGTGCCAATTCTTGTCTCCCCCATGAGACCTTCCGCTGAGGGGTTTACGTAAGGCACACCTAAATGTTACGCAGGTAAATACAAAAAGGGACTTGAACCACGTGAAAACAACAAGCAACGTAAAATGATGTGCTTTGACCTGCAATGTAAATAAGGGGATGTTCTACCCTTTTTTTCACCCCCCCCTCCCCCAAGTAAATTGCCGAAGGGACACTGTCACACCCCATTTGTGGAAGTAATAATCTCCTTACGTGCTGACTGCTCTACTTAGGCTGCTGCTGCATTAAACAGACTGTCCTGTAATGCTCGGCAGTCAGATGTGACAGGGATTAAGCCATAATTTTGGCTGTTGACGGGCTATCCTTGTACGTCTCGCTGGAAAAATGCCAGGTGGGTCAATGGAGCGGATGTATTTTAAAAAATCTAGTTCAAGTAGATCCCATAAGTAGTGCTGTGTGTCAGAAGTCGCACGCATCCAGCAGGCAAAGTCTCGTTTTGTGGTGGATGAAAGCTAAAGGCGTACCTAAAAAATCTCGAGGTTTCTTGGCAGTACAATCCATAATTTGTATACAAAATGGATAAACACACGAGTGACGAATGGCCGATCTCTCTGTAGAGCGGCTGAAGCAGCTTTTGCCGGGTAACTACCGCTCGTTCTTGCGGTAGAGCACTACTTTTAAAATGAAACTAAGTCCGTTGGAAATACTTACGAGAAGTCTACAGTTTCACAAATGCCTTGGATTGCTTCAGGCCTTAAGAGGAACTCCAGACAGGCTGAGGTTTGAGGTTTAACAGAGACCTTTATTTTATTTTTTTTTCCTCTTTTTTTGGCAGGGTTATAATTGGTGCCACGACCGAAATGTGGTTACCATTTTCAGTGCGCCCAATTACTGTTACCGTTGTGGGAACCAGGCTGCTATCATGGAACTAGACGACACTTTAAAATATTCCTTGTGAGTAACCTGGCTCGGGCTCTTCTCTCGTCCTAACCATTGTGAGGAATGTCTGATCCTTTCCAAAAGGGTTCTTTCCTGAAAAGCCAACTCAAATCAGTCTGGAATTAACGTTGTGTGCTCTACCTGCAAGAATATCTAAAAATAAGTAGTGAGTTAAGCTTTTAAAAGCTTCTCTTGGGTACCGCATTAGCTCCTTTTCCTGCCTCTGGAGCACTGGAGCTTCTGCATTTTCTTCATCCCTCTTATTGCCCAAGCTTGATGGAGAGAGTAAAGGCAGATTGGTTTGTGTATTTATTTTTAATTTTGGTAGCTCTAGGCTTTGAAAGGCTGAGGGACTTGGGGCTTTTAGTCTGGAGAAGAGAAGACTGAGGGGGGATTTTATCAATGCTTATAAATACTGAAAGGGAGGGTGCCGGGGGGATGGGAACAGGCTTTTTTCAGTGGTGCCCAGTGACAGGACTAAGAGGGGATGGGCACAAACTTGAACGTAGGAAGTTCCATCTAAGCATGAGGAGGAACTTCTCTGCTGTGAGGGTGGCAGAGCAGTGGCACAGGCTGCCCAGAGAGGTGGGGGAGTCTCCCACTCTGGAGACATTCCAAACCCGCCTGGACGCCGTCCTGTGCCACTGCTGGAGGTGCCCCTGCTCTGGCAGGGGGTGGCACTGGGGGAGCTCCAGAGGGCCCTTCACACCCTGATCATTGATTTTTTTGTGATTCTGTGGGTGAGAGAGTCTGAATTTTTGCATTTAGCTGAGCTGGCGTGAAAGTAGCGATGGGCTGCTGAAGTGCTGACTGCTGGCTTTGCGTTGGCTCCCTAAGCAGCATTTCCACCAGCTGATGAGTTTTTAACTCCCACCGATGCTTGTTTTGGGACCGGGAACGTTTTATGTGGAAGCAGCTGGGATGAGTAAACCAATAGCAGCAGGAGAGCGAGTCTGGTGTTTATTGTGGAAAAGACCTTGTGGAGGAGGGAAAATGATCCCTTTTTCTTGCCTGCAGCCTCCAGTTTGACCCAGCACCTCGTCGTGGAGAGCCTCATGTTACCCGTCGTACCCCAGACTACTTCCTATAAACCTCTCCCAACCTTTGTAGAAGGAAGTACACCTGGCATTTTAAAGAGCAACAATATTTACACGTTTCTGTAAGAAACCGGGGTTCGTCTCAACTTGCAAATCCCCATCATGGACCAAAACGTGCCATACAGAGGACGAAGAGCGTTTAGCACAACTTGAGACTGAATTCCTTAACGACACTATATATATCCTATACCCATCAGTCCAACAGTCAGTTTGCCTGCTGTATTTGTAGTCCTTGTTTTTCTTCTGGACTGTTCAGAGAGGAAGGGGTAACTCTTAGTCACACTTCCATCTCCTTTGGCGCTTCTTTGTAAATTTTCAGTTGTAGTGTTTTAACCGGCATGAATTACGAGTTTATTTTCGAGGGAAATGCACACTAACTCCTGCCCCCTTCCCACCACCGCCACCACTCTTTTATTTTACTGAGAGACCGACCGACTTAACTGGAGAAAGGAAGCAATTCCTGCTTGGGAGTACGTTGTCATAACACAGATAAAAACCGTTCCCTTTTTAGCTCGATTCCCGTTCTGTGTTGATTTCTGCCTTTATTTTTTCCTTTTTTTTTTTTTTTCAATCAACTGGAACACAAACTTATTTCACAACAGGGGGAATTTTTAACAGAAGTTCTTCCTCCAAAACAGCTCTACTTGAAAACACTTCCTCATTCTGTTATGCTGAGGGATATATTTGAGCGTCTTTCCTTTTATCGGTAGTGTTGTATGCTTCGTAAGATCCAGTTCATATGACTAGAAGGGGAAAAAAAATGTTCTCAAATTTGCAGAACAGACAGAAGCCCCTCAATCTGACAGGTTTTCCCCTGCTGAGTGAAGTCTCCATGCAAGCAGCTGGTCAGGAGATTTATTCTCCCCTTGCGGCCTTACTGATTGTAGGGGGAAAAAACTTCATCCACATCTACAAGAAAATAGAGCAAGGAACTCCCCTCTGGCTGGCCCCGACCCCCCCGGCGATGGTCGCGGTCTCCCACCCGGGGCTCATCCCTGTTCCTCCTTGCTGGCCCCGCTGGTCCCACTCCCCCTGGGGCTCGTCCCGGTTCTTCCTTGCTGGCCCCAGTCCCATTGGGGCTGGTCCCGCTTGTCCCGGTTCCTCCTTGCTGGTCTTGCTCTCCCCCGAGGACCGGTCCCGGTCCCCCCCTGGGGCTGACCCCGATCCTGCGGGAAGCCGGAGGGCAGAAGCCGCCATCCCATCCGTGGAAACGTTGTGCGTGGAGCTGCCTTGTCACGCTGCGTGGAAGCGGGACAGGTCCCGATTCCCCTTTTTCCCCGTGGGTGGATGTTGGGTGGGGGTTTTTTTTGGCTGTTTTCAGGCCGATAAAGGGCTGGTGCCGAGTGCCGGGTCTGCGCGGCACAACCGCCAGCTCGGTTACGACGGGCACGGCGAGCTGGTGACAAGCAGAAAAAAAACAAATGTGTTCCTCAAACAAGCCAGGGACGGGCTCCGGTTTTAAGTTTTTAAGGACATGCTCCTGAAAGAGTTGCCATACTGGGACCAGAAGTGCGGGAAGGGGACGGCAAACACCCTTCCTCCCAGTAAATCTCCGTGAAATTATCAATGGAAAAAAACCCCAAACCCCCTTCTATTTGCATTGCGTGCACCTTCCGTGTTCTCCTTCAAGGAAGTGAAGGGAAACGGGCAAACCGCAAGACCTTGAGGCACCAGAGGCGATTACAGCCCTCTTTTGCCAGAAACCCCTGATCCCGCCATTATTTTCCTGGGCGGAGCGCCGGGATTCGGTACCGACCGGACCCGGGATGCTCAAATGGAGCGTTGCCGTTGAAAAACTTAAGCCTGGACGCTGAGACTTCCTCTTTTTTAAATTTTTTTTTTTTTTTCTCCTCCTGCTCTAGGTCAACGTTGGGTGCGTGCCAAAGAAGGTAAGGGCGATTTTGCCGCCGGCGCCTCCGCCGTGGGTTGGGTCTGGGGTGGGTGGATGGGTGGGTGGATGCCGAATCACAGGGATGTGCTGGGGCTCGGAGCGTATTGAGCCATCGAGATGCCACGGAACGCTCAGCCCCGTATCCCCGTGGGCTGCTCCGGCCAGAGATGAGGCGTCGGGAAGCGCGGCAGGGTTTGGTTTTGGTTTTTGTTTTTTCCTGAGCCGACTCGCGGTTTGCGCGGGGCAGGTGATGTGGAACGCGGCGATCCACGCGGAGTTCATCCACGATCACGCCGACTATGGCTTCGAAACGCCCGGCGTCAAGTTCAACTGGAGGTAAGTATGGAAAGAGGCGGTTGGGAACGAGCGTCTCCCGGTGCGGCTGTGGGTTGTCCACCCCGAAGCGTTCCCTCCCCGCTTCGAGGTTTCCTGAGGATGGATGCTGAGCTGGTTATGCCGCCGGGATTCCCTTTCGAAAGGAAGTGGGGCAAACCGGCCTTGGGAAGGGTCTCCAGAAAAGCGGGATGGTGGGAAGGCAGCTGAAAAAGAAACCCTCCCATCGGTGGGGAAAGCTGGGTGACTCGGGGCTGATTTATTTTGTGGCGCGGGTGCCACGTGCCGCAGGGATTGAATTGTTTTTTGCTGAGCTCTGCAGGTTCGTGACATTAAGCCCCCGCTCTGTTCCAGAACGATTAAAGAGAAGCGCGACGCTTACGTGAGGCGCCTGAACGAGATCTATGAGAATAACGTAAGGAAGGTGAGGACGCGTTTTTCCCCGCGGGCCACGCAGGGAGAAAGCGGGCTCTGCGGGATTTTTGGCCGCTTTTCCAGCCTTAACGGGTGTCCTCTGTACCCGCGGAAGCCCTGGCTCCGTTAGCTGGCTCTTGCACCTCCTCCCGCTGTTCATCACCTTAATTACTCCCCCCAAAAAGGCTCACATCGACATCATCCGGGGCTACGGCAAGTTCACCGCTGACCCTCAGCCTACCGTCGAAGTGGACGGGAAAAAATACACCGCTCCTCACATCCTTATAGCCACGGGCGGGCGCCCGTCCGTCCCTTCCGACAGCGAAATTCCCGGTGAGCCCGACGAAATTCCCCCTCCGGGGGGTAATGCCTGGAGAGAGGGGCTGCCGAAGCCAAGCGGGTTTTGGGGAGGTGGGGAGCGGGGCCGGCCAGGGGGTGCGAAAGGGGCTCTGCTTTTGCAGGTGCCAGCTTGGGGATAACCAGCGACGGCTTCTTCGACCTGAGGGAGGTGC